TTTTTTTAATTTTATTTGTTATTGATAATTGTTTGTGAAACAGGGAAGACTTACGGGTTCAGGATATCAAACGTGGGCACTGAATTCAGCTTGAATTTCAGGATTCAGAACCATCAAATGGTGTTGGTTGAAACAGAAGGATCATACACCAATCAGATCGTGTTGGACTCTCTTGATGTACACGTTGGACAATCCTACTCTGTTCTTGTCACAGCCAATCAAAACCAAGCTGATTACTACATAGTGGCGACTCCCAAATTGGTAGACCTCAACGACACTGATTACAAGGACTTGGTGGGTGTGGGAGTTCTGCATTACTCAAATTCAACCACCCCAGTTAGTGGGCCTCTGCCTGATGGACCTGGCCCATTTGACATTGAGTTCTCAGTAAATCAAGCCAAGTCTATTAGGTACAAACACTTGAAGCTTTCATGCAAATGACATTGACAAAGTAGCTTTTAGTTTGGGAGAAAATTAGGGAATTTGATCTTTTAAGTCACTTTTTCGACTTCATGCCTGCCTTTTAGAATTTTCTCTCTTAATTTTGTGTTTTTGTGATGCAATGCGGATCAAAATTAAACATCATTTATTCCGAATTTAAACCTCACACTATCTTATCTCATGTCGTTTGACTTAATAATCATTGACGTCTCTTTTAAGTTACTAAGATAATATAATAAAGTGAATAAGGAGACAAACCTTATTGGGCATTCCTCTAGATTTTCCTAGTTTTTAAATTTATGCGGTTTCATTCATTTCTTTTTAATTAAAACTAATACAAATCCTTTCAGCTGAAGGACTTAGAATGCGTAAAAGTTTGACTTATTCCATCTTTGAAATTTGCTAGAATTCCGAGGCCTCGTCTCCACATAATGAAGGCGTGAATGTTTAGAATTTAGTATATTGAAGGATTATCTTTACCCTATTATCCAACTCTTTAGACTTTGTTCAGTTCATTTACTTTGCTAAGAAAATTCTCTCGAAGGTAAGAAAAGAACTCTTCATCTTCAAGTGAGGTGAGGAAAAGAAAGCCTTTCATTTTGATCCTCTTCCCCTTTTGTTTTCTGTCTTATTAACTGCAGAATAAACTTGCCTATGCGGGTGGATGTTTGTTCATGTCTCCCTCTTTCACACACAAATAAATGTA